GGTATGGGGGCAGGTGTAGCACTTCCTGCGGTTGCAAGGAAAAGTGCCGGGTGTGGTGGTGCTGGAGGGGAGTGTGGAGCAGACATGGGAGTCCCGGAAAGAGTGGTCCCTCCAGAAAGCAGATAAGGGTGGGGAGGGCAAAAATGTCTTTGGTGGTGGGGTTGGATTGCCGATGGCGGAAGTGTCAGAGGATGATGCGTTGGATCCGGAGGTTGGTGGGGTGGTACATGGAGGATGAGGGGGATTCTGTTTTGGTTGTTATTGCGGGGAGGGAGTGCGAGGGATGAGTTGCGGGAAATGCGGGAGACACGGTTGAGGGCATTCTCGACCACTGAGGGGGGGGATGTTGCGGTCCTTGTAAAACGAGGACATCTGAGATGTTTGGGAGTGGAATGCCTCATCCTGGGAGCAGATGCAGTGGAAGCGAAGGAATTGGGAATAGGGGTTGGTATTTTTGCAGGAAGGTGGGTGGGAGGAGGTGTATTCTAGGTAGCCGTGGGAGTCGGTGGGCTTCAAATGGATATCGGTTTCCAGGTGGTTCGGAAGATTAAATTGCCCACATAATTGACAGTGCAAATATGAAAGTGATGGGATTTTCAGGTTTTTTTAAACATTAAATGGAGGTATCTTAGGGTTTAAGATATCTGCAAAAATAGTGTTCTCGTTTCGGGTCTTTGTCAGAGTAGAAGTCTATAATCTTGTTACTAATTGGAAGAATCATGCAACAGGAACTTGTTTTTCAAACTTTATCGGTTAACACAAGTAATAAATATTTTCCCAAACTGGTCTCTTTCTGCTGAATGAAAATTTTATTTGTGTTCAATGTTGTATCAAACTTCACGATATTAAGTTTCTTTTTCTTTATTTATTAATAGGATGAAGGTGTCGCTGGCTAGGTAGCATTTATTGCCCATCCCTAATTGCCCAGAGGGCAGTTCAGAGTCAACCACATTACTGCAGGTTTAGAGTCACATGTAGGCCAGACCTGGTAAGGATGGCAGTTTCCTCCCCTAAAGAACATTAGTAAACCAAATGGGTTTCTCTGACAATCCACAATGGATTCATGTTCTTCATTATTTTTAATTCCAGATATCTTATTGAATTCAAATTGTACCAACTGCCATGGCAGGATTCGAACCTGTGTCCCCAGAATGCTATCTGGGTCTCTGGATTAACAGTCCAGCAATAATACCACCAGGCTGTTGCCTCCCCAAATGAGTGATGTTCCACAATTCAACACCTAAGCTAAGACTTTCATCCAACACATAACATTTTTGTTTCCAGCATCGACTCGTTCTCCTGACATGCATGTTTCTTTTAAAGATCTGATTCACTGCAAATAAACAAACTGTGATAAACACTTACCGACTCTTGTGTGCAGCATAAAACTTCATATTTTCAACTGCCTCTTGAAGTAGCTGATTCAGAAGATATAATCTTGTGTATTTTTTCCATTCTTGAATCTGAGTCTGGAGCAGGAATTTAAGCAACAGATAGAAACGGCAATTTTACTGCCTTTAAATGTCAAGAAACATGTAATACAAATTCCATGAGGAAATGTTATGTAACTCAGATATCCATGCTCCTCTAAATTTTGTCTCCTCAGCATTCCCAATTTTAAGTGCATCCCCATTGGTGGCATTCAGTTGCTTGGGCCCTAAGCTCTGAAATTCTTTCCTTAAACCTTCGCTTTGTACTTCTCTTCCTTCCTTGCACGTGAGCGAGTATTAGAAGCCTATAGGCATCTTATAATTTTAAGGAGAAAACCTGGTCAAATGTACATGGAGATTGAAAGGATCAAACATTGTAATTTTGATAGCTGGATAAGGGGACTGAAAATAAATCTAACATTTGACTTCCTAGAGAGACAATTATTTTGGAGGAGTTCAAATATGCACTTTCTGAAGTTGTAAGAACTCACGTGGAAAAGCAGAGATTCAAGCTAGATTAGCAGTGGAAATGGCAGATGATCATGTCTTGGTTCATAAATCAAAGTTTGGCTTCCAACATCAATTTCAATCTGTGAGGGATAGAAATTACAGGAGAGCGAAATCCTCAGGTGGTAAGGAAAAAGAAGACCTTCATTCAAGATAGTAAAAATAGTTTACCACAAAGTTAGAAGGAAGCCCATGAGGGGGAAGACAAGTAAAAAAGCTCAGGTGTTTTCACTGTAATAAAGTAGGCCACTCCAAGTCACAGTATGGTTGTTTAGAAAAAGCACTGGGAAGACAGATGTGGGAAAACAGGAAAGGGCAGTGAGTTTTGTTGAAGTGGTAAAGGAAGTGCAAGCTAAAAAGCTGCAAAAGAATGTACAATTTGGTCAGGGGTGGGTGGAGAAGAAATTATCAGATCTCTTTAAACAATTTACTTGCATGGCTAAGGTTTACTCATGTATGCCAGGAAGAGTAGATAAAGAAATTAAGATTTTGAGAGATACCAGAGCATGTCAATCTTTGACAGTGAGAGATCAGGAGATATGTAATTCAGAAGGAGTACTGCCAGAAAAGATGGTAATATGTGGAATTCGTGGCGCGTTCCATCATATAAAGTGAGATTGGACAGTCCGATGAAAAGTGGTGAAATGGTGGAAGGAGTAGAGAAATTCTCACTTCCAGAAATACAGTTTGTCCTTAGTAATGATGCAGCAGGACCACCAGGAGTGATGCCAACTGTGGTTGAAAAGCCAGTGGAAAATCAGGCAACTGAGGTGTTACGGGAAGTATATCCTGGGATTTTTCTTGACTGTGATAACAAGGTCACAAAGCCACAGAATGAGGCAGGAGGAGAGATCAAGGAGTGAAGATAACAAAGTTGAGGTTCAATTATTAGAAATGATGTTTAATCAAATGATTGAGAAAAAACAAGAACAGGCGAAGGACAAAGTGGATATTTTTAGTATAGAGAAATTCGCTGAATTTCAACAGAATGTTGAAAAATTAAAGCAGTTGTATCAAAAAGCATACAGAGAAGAAGAATCTGAGTGTATCCCAGAATGTTACGATCTTAAAAATGAAGTCATGATGAGGCAACGGAGACCATCCCACATATTCAGGCAGATGAGAAATGGGTAGAAGCTCATCAGGTTGCATTACCGGTAGGTTATAGAAAGGATGTGTTGTGGATAGCACATGAATTACCAGGTGGTGGTCATTTGGGAGTAAGGAAAACTCAAGCCAAAATACGAAAACATTTTTATTTTTATAAGGGTGTGGTTGACTTTTGCCGGACTTGTCATATATGTCAGATAATAGAAAAATCGCAGGCAGTGAGAAAACCAGCACCGTTAAATACTTCTTCCCACATTTGAGGAACCTTTTACAAGCGGTTTCATTGATTCCATAGGATCCATACCTAAAACAAAATGTGGGATCCAAAAGGAGAATGTGGTACTGGTTATAACACAGAGTGAAGAACCAAGTTCAAATTATTCTGAATTAGATATTCCTCAAAATAAATTGGACGAGGAAGTTCTCAAAATTTGGGATAAATTAGAGGAAAATTGAAATGACCTGAAAGAGTTATTACAATCAGGTGGGGAGATATGTGGGAGTAAACTGGGAAGTACTCATCTGAATATGCACGATGTAGATATAGAACACACTACTCCAATTAATTAAAATCCTCATAGACTTAACCCTTTAAAGTTGGCACAGGTTCAAAAAGAGATTGAATGCATGTTCAAAGACATAACCTAAGTGAGTTGCAGTGAATGGAGCTCACCCATAGTAACAGTGCCAAAACCAGATGCTACCCAAAGACTACGTGCAGAATATTGCAAAGTCAATGCAGTTACAAAATACGATTCATATCATTGGAAGACTGTTTGAGAAGGTGGGACAAGCAACTTTCGTCTCTCAGTTAGACTTACTCAGATGATACAAGCAAGCACTTCTACTTGGAAGAGCAGAAGAAATTCAGCTTTTGTGACTCCGAATGGACTGTGCCAGTTTAAAATCATGCTATTTGGTATGAAAAATGCAGCAGCCACATTTCAAAGACTAACCAATAAAGTTATTACCAGGATTACCTGATTGTGTGGTGCACATCAACGATCTGGTGATTTTAAGTCACGCATGGAAGGATTTAGAGCATCTACTGGAATTGTTCAACTGACTTCAGGAGGCAGACTTGGTGATAAACCTGGCGAAGAGTGAGTTCGCAAAAGCCCAAGTCTTGTTCCAGGGCCATGTCATTTTATCAGAAGTTTGTACCAAATTTTAGAATATAGTTGCTCCACTGACTGACTTATTGAAGAAGTGCAGAAAATTTCAGTGAATAGAGGAATGTCAGAAGGCATTTGACAGCCTGAAAGCTGTGTAAACTATTCTTCAGTGTCAACCACACCTATTTACACAAAGCCATTCAAAGTGGCTATCAATGCGAGTGAGGTGGGTGTTGGAGCTGTACTCTTGCAAGACAACGAGAAGACAGAAAACCTACTGGATGATTATTCAGTCTTCTAGATAAATATCAACAGATATATTCCACAATTGAGAAAGAGACAATGAGTTTAGTATTGGCATTGCAACATTTCAACATTTAAATTCCTAGTAATGTGTCTGAGACAATTGTATATACTGATCATAACCCTTCAAGTTTAAAGGAAAATTTAAAGGATAAAAATTCCAGACTGTTGATTATTGCAGCAATTTAATTGGAAAATTATACATGTGGCAGGACGATAGGGCGGCACGGTGGCTCAGTGGTTAGCAGTGCTGCCTCTCAGTGCCAGGGACCTGAGGCTTGGTGTGGACTTGTTGGGCCGGAGGGCCTGCTTCCACACTGTAGGGATTCTATGACTCTATGAAAGAACGTAATTGTCAACACGTTGTCATGGCTTTGAAGAAAGAAGGTGGTGTTCGGTGACAGGAGAAAACTGACTGAAATGGACTATAGTAGTGAAAGTTTGCATGCTTAGAGTCAATGTAACACATATGTATTGTAGTGTACTAATGGCATAAGGCTAAAGGTTTTTAAAAAATATGAAGCCATCTATGTATATTGATGGTTCATTTATTTTAAGGGGGAAGAGAACACAGAACATTTTATTGTATTAAATATATTATACAAGCTGCTGATTTATCAAATGCTACATTCAATATCAAAACACAAGGTCAGAAATTCAGAAATTACATTTGAAAATGTCACTTTGTTAGTTACAGAAATCTACACCTGCATTGAGGGTCTTCAGAACTTTCCACTGCCTTAAATAAATGTAGCAGCTAAGCTGCTACTGAGCAAAGTAGTGAAGGGCTGCAAGAGGTCCCAGGTTTTTGTGCATCTTTGAAATGCAATGATTTAGACAGTATTGTAATAACCTAACAGCACAACAATTTAAGAGTGCTGAATGCTCTTTCATCAAACAAGCCATGGAATGGGATAGTGCAGAATGCCCCATTGCATTCATGAATTTCAGAATAATATTTGCTACAAGCCACCCTTGAATGCACTTCAGTGATTTATCCTCAGCAGTGTGCACTAAAGGTTTGGGAGCAGCTGCAGGGTAGTGCTTGGATCCAAAATACCAGAGCTAAGAAAAATCAAGGAGGAAAGTAATTTTGTTTAGAAAAAGGCTGTAATTCAAGGTTACTTTAAGAGGGAAGGATGTGCATCATCATAAAATCAAAATGAACTCCCATCGACATTAAACTGTTCAGTTTATGAGGTCAGCAGTATGAACCATCACAATCATCCTTCATATCTACTAATAGTGGTAACGGCAAATATATTCCACATGTTCAAAAATAAACCAAAACACACTAAGGAAGCAAATAAAACTGAAATATTTTTTATTAATTTTGCTCAACATGGAGTTTGCTTTTTGTCAGTTTCACATAGTAATATTCACGTTAATGTCATTTACGCAATATTTCCCAACAATATATACCTCAACGGAAAGTAGTCTGCTTGCTGATTGTCTACAATCTTCCTTTCTTGTGGCATAAATTGTCTGCAATTTTTTCTTGTCATTGATCCATCTTTCCCTGAAAGCAATGAAGATACTCTTAAATAGTTTGTTATTGTGCATATACTAAAACTGTCAAATATAGTACAGCTCTGAAGAATAAATTATTTCTAGAACATCAAATATTAGAAAAAAATTTAAATAAATGTAGTGCAGCCAATACCTTTCTTCTTTTATCTTCTGAACTTCAGTATCATTTTCACGAGTAGCTTTTTTAGACCTAAAAAGAAAAGTCACATTCGAGATTTTCCTCACCCTGCATAAAGCCCACATGCATTTTTCAAATTTTTGGCCATCTGTCTTAAGATATAATGTCTTGTGTGTCTGGGTGTCCAACTTTCCTTCATATTGCCCCTTTAAAGCATCTTGGGAAGTTTCATTGTATTAAAATCACAATATTAATACAAGGCTTTTCTGGTTTCAAATATATATGCATATATTAAATATATAATTTCTTTCATTCAAGTAAATTGAACAAACTCTCATTTCACTGATAAATTCTTTTAAAAATCCGCAAATTGATAGGAAGTTTCACAAGGATGGCATGTACTGCCTAAGTTTGTAACTTCACAGCTTCAAGACCTTTAAGTCCAACGTACCTTTCTAAATTGTTCTTTGTAGATTTAAGTTCTTCTTGTAGTGTACTGAGTTCTTGTAATTGATACTTCCTTTGGTCAAAATTCTTTTCTTTCTCAGCCTTCATCTGTAGCTTTACTGTTCTGAGCTCATTCCTCAATTTCTATTATAGAGTTAAAAGTGAGCAATCTTACTTTGTTTGTTATTTTCTATGCCTATTCCCAACTTCCACTATTTTCCATAATAGGTTAACTGTACATCCTCTAAAAACCTTTAAAAAGCTTATGTCATGCTTACATGATTTTTAAAACTGAAAACTGTACTATACTTATCCAATCTTAGAAAATGATTCTTGACAAACACAGGTCAGCCGAGTGGTATTATCATTGGACTGTTAATCCAGAGATACAGGTAATGTTCCAGGGATCCAGGTTTGAATCCTGCCACAGCAAATGGTGGAATTTAATTCAATGAAAGTCTGGAATTAAGAATCTAATGATAACCATGAATCCATTATTGGTTGTCAGAAACACCCATCTGGTTCACTAATGTCTTTTAGGGAAGGAAACTGCCAATGTTACCTGGTCTGGCCTACATTTGAGTCCAGACCCACAGCAATGTGGTTGACTCTGAACTGTACTCTGCGCAATTAGGAAAGGCAATGAATGCTGATCTAGCCAGCAATGTTCTCATCCCGTGAATTAAAAAAAAACAACAGTATAACCGTTCCTCTAAAGACTGCAGGACTCTGATATAAGTAAAGAAAATCCACCTCAACCAATTCCCAGTCTCATTACTTTAGAATACTGAGATTAAGGACTGATGAAAGATCTATTCAGTTCTCAAAATATTAAGAGATGTAGATTGATATACATTGTACCAGATGCAACGTGGGTATATACTTAAGGTAAAACAGGACTTACTTGTGATTTCAAATTGTTGATGGGATTTAAAGATCGCCCTTTGCTATTTTTCCAATAAATGCCTTTAAACTACTGGTGCCCTTTTAGTCTATTGAAACATGAAGAATTCTAGCCATCCTACTGTAACACTCTCCTTAATCATATCCATTTCTTTAAATGTGTGTTATTAACTTGCATTCATGCAACAGTGAATCACTTTTCAGGTTCACACTTGCACTATATAGGTACTATTTAAATAAACTGTTCACGCCTTCTGTTGGGAGTCCGTCTAAAACTAGTATCTCATCGTTTTGGGTATAAGCAGAAACATCATTCAAAATCTTGTAGGTAAATGCTACTCAAATTAGCATTCCAAAATCTAATTATGATTTTATGAAATATTACAGTTACTTGTTTCAAATTAATAGCAAGAAAAGACCAAGTTTTAAACTTGACAACAGCAAAGATGTTTATAATGATGTTAACCATACCTTCTCTTTGAAAACAAGTTGCTCATGCTTTTCTTTGAATATTTTAATTTCACTCTGAGTGTCATCACAAAGTCGAGCATACAATTTTTGTGACTTCTCATAATTCTGCTTAAGGTGAATGTTTTCATGGTAAAGTTGCAAGAAGGTCCTCTGCAAGTCAAAAATAAAGACTATTATACAATAAGAACTATTAGGCAAACTTTTGGCAAGGGAAGTCATGCAACAAAACATAAACGTACAAATGTTCAGCCCTTTATTTTAACTCACCAGAATACTTACCTAAATTACTGTTTTAGTATCTGGATTATAAGTTAGTGACATGTGTATTTCCATCTATGTGCGTGAGGAGGTTTAATTGTTAGCTTGTCAGCCTTTCTGGAGCCATGACTGTTTTAAACAAGTGTAAGACTTGGAGCAAGTGTAAGACTTGGAGCAAGTGTGAGGGTGAACAAATGAGAGAAAAGAGAAAAATAGAGAAGCATTTGCTTGCTTTCAGTTCAGAAGAATCAGCAATGGATTCTTTTTGTTTCGGAGACAAAATAGTTTGAAAAGATTTTTGTGTCAATTCAGAGAAGCCTTGGCTGAAGCTAGGCATAAAAACATCTTACCTGAAGAAAGGAGTTAGTTCCGAAAAGTTAAGAAATAGGTTACTTCACTGTTTTTAGACAGAAATTCCAGAACGTCCAGAAACAGTCAAATCAAACCGAGAGAATGTGATAGAGAAGGAACACACTGTCTCTGACATGTGAGTACTGTAAAGTGCCAGCATTTGGAAAAGACAGAAGTATACTTTTATTGTGTTTTGAAAACTTTCAAATTGCGTTTATGTAAACAGCTTGGTTTTCCTCCATTTTATATTCATTTCTTTTGGGTGATAACCTTCTGTTTTATTGTTAAAACCAAATCTTCAGCATTAGAGTTTGCATTTCAGTGAAAGACCATCTTGCTGAATAAAAAATGATTTACCACACCAGATTTCAGTCCGTGATCTGACTTGTCCAAAAATAATATTAGCTCAGATCACAGCTCTTGTTACATGTCTGTAGAAGCATAAAAATTTCATTCAACAGGAGACTGCTACAAGTCACAGCATTTTATTGTACAGTAGACCATTTGGCCAACATTTCTGTAATGGCTTTCTGAAAGAGCTTGATGTTTAGTCCCATTCTGTCTTTATAATATTCTTTTAATTTTTTTCTGCTGGGTGTTAAAGAAAAGGCCAAAACAACATGAGAAAATGCATAAGACAGTAACTTCATCAGGCCAAGGTTTTAGACGTTCAAGATCATAGCTTATACTATGGCAGTTTTAAACTTTCCACAAGGTTCTTACCTATCAATTCTATTACATAAATTATTATGTATTTACAATACAAGGGTTAGCTATGAGCAATTTAAGTTTCTTATCAATATTTACAACATATTAAAATTAAAGACTGCATTAGAAGTTATATTTCTGCTTAGAGAATTTTGAAGTTTCAGAGATCTTACCTCTTTGCTTTCAAAAGGTTTAATAGGGTCAGTAAGCACAGCACCATCACTCATCGTTATTTTCTTTAAAAGGTAAAGGGAAAGAAAAGAGTTACCACATCTTCTTTATTTCTCTACCATTATGAGAATCGATATTGAAAAAATAGTAGGTACTCCGAGAACAAATGAGACATGCTCAACAGTAATGGAAGACTATGGGAATTTCCATTAAGTATTCCATGATTTGTGGAACAATGTTTTCTGTTCAGCACATACTACTCAAAACAACTTAGTCTGTGAGATCAGTTTTTCACTGAAAATATAATCAAATGCTGGCTTCAACCCATCGCTAAATCAAAACTGACATTTTTTTTCTTTTGTGTTTAACTAATCAATTTTATAGCTCTGGCAATAACATTTGAATAAAGAGGCAGAACGAAAAAGTTGGTCCATGTTTTATGATCGTTCAGTTCACATTTCATTTATGGACCATAGTGGTTTCACGATTAGCGTTTCAGAGAATTACCACTATCCAGACAATTAAGTCCAATGCATTATGACTGGTTGACTTTTACAACAGAATCTAATGATTGATCTGGTAAGGCCCCATGCGAGCAATAGGTCAGAAGATAATGAATAACATACAAACGTTCAATTCAGAGATCTGCAGTGATCAGACAGAAGCTTTTTCCAAGGTCTAAACTAAACAATATAATAAGACAAAGACATTATTAAATCTGACTAACAATGGGTTTGGGTGCAGCAGGAGTTTTGCTGGCAGAATTAACATGTTAGCAGAGTATCACCAACTAACCTCTTCTTTTTAGAAGAAAACTGTACCATTAGCAGCAAAATAGTAAACTAAATGTTTTCAAAACTAATTAATTGTTAAGCATGTGTACAAAACCAAAAAAGCTAGAAGCACAACAAGTTTAAGTAGGAAAGATGTGCCAATGCTACACAAAGAAAAGCTCACTGTTTTACTCCTTTAAGTAATTGTACATTCTGACAATGTGTGAGTATCTAATACAATACTACAAACTGTAAAATGATTCTACACTTGAAATACAGCAGCTAAAAAATTTAAATTACTTACAGAAAGACATTTTAAAAAATCATAACTGGACAGAGAAACTTCCTATCTATCTTTTCATTTACATCACACAAACAGTTGCTTCAGTTGTAGAAGCCCCAGCTTCAACACTTTTGCCCAAAACCCTACAAGTTTCTCAGCTACAAGTATCTATTCAACTCTCTTTGAAACAACATACGGAATCAGCATTCAACAGACTTTCTGAAGCAGTGTCATTTGGTCTACAGCACAGGAAAAGGGTCCTTTGGCCAAGCGAGTCAAAGCTGGTCAAAAACAACCTCCTAATGAAACTATTCTAAACCCATTTTCCAGAACTTGGTCCATAGGCTTGTATGATATACGTGCAACGCCAAGGTGTATCTAAATAGTTCTTAGAAATTATGAACGTTTCTGCCTCTACTACTCTTACAGGCGAGGAGTTTCAGATTCCCAGCACCCTCGAAGTGAGAAATACTGGAGGCATTATTTCCCTGGGGTGGCTGAAGCAAGCCAGGATATTTCTGGTTTTAAACCTCATCTCAGGAATGAAAATCCAAGCACGAGTGAACTGTGTTGATGTGGAACTAAGGTTCTCTCTCAGCGCAGACACCAGATTTTTTTTT